AGAGCTGCTAGGGTTCGGGCACCGGCGGTTGATGGCCGGAGGCGAGGGGGAAGCGGTCGTCGGGGAAAAAAGAGGAGAGAGAAGGTACAGGTAGGCGGCTGAAATCATGACATGAGGAGAAGAGGAGAGAAGATGAGGCGGGTGAGGAGAAGAATGATCGTGACGGCATAGGGTTTCATATAAAAAGAAGAGAAGGAAACATATATATATATATATATAAGGCTAGGGCTAGGGTTTGGGTTTTGAAAAATAATTAAAAATAATATTAATTATAAAATAAATTAAATAATTATGTAAAAATTATCTACACATTAAAACATACCAGTTATACTAATACGATAGATAATACACAATAATAGTAATAATACAATAAATTATACAAAATAATACGTAATAATAATATAACGTATTATACGAAAATAATACATAATAGTAAAAATAATACAATATATTATTCAAAATGATACGTAATAGTATCGATAACACAATAGATAAATTCAAAAGTTTTTACTACACTAAATAAATTTATAAATATCAAAATTATTTAAATAAATATAAAACTTAGATTTTTAAATCGTAGAAAATTCTAGAAAATCAAGAAAAATACAAATACTCTTTTAAAATAATAATTAAATATTTTAAAATATCAAAAAATTATTTTAACTAGTATCAAAAGTTTACAGTCATTACAACTAATTTGGGAGAAACTAGAGTTTCGGTCTTGTAAGTCTACTAAATCAGGTTTGTGATTCATGTGAACTCTTTTCATAGTGAGGAAGCCTCTTAGTGAGAATATATGGTAGATGAAGGATTTTTATCCGAGCTACTATAAAACATGGTGTGTTCCTTAGTTATGTTCATTAGCATGTCTATTTCCAGTAAAAACAATCAAACCTGTTTTTGAGTCAATAATTTTTCCCATGGTAGATTCGAAAAGTATATGCATACCTTTATCGCAAAGTCAACAAATGGAGATAAGATTAAGCATAAACCATCAACGAGTAATACCTTTAGGAGTTTAAAAGAATCATTACATATATCGCTATCTCCTACAATTTTACCTTCACTGTTGTTTACAGAAGTCACATCTCCACTTTTCTTTTTGTCGAGGCTATGAAACGATTTTTTCTTTCCTATCATGTGTCTCGAGTAGCCTGAATTCAACTACCATGTGCTACCTTGCTCTTTAGCTCTCTATTGAACCTCATTATCAGAATATTCCTTATTTTTCTTTCTGGTTCTTGAATTGCTCTCTTTTTATGCTTAAATGATCATGCTTAGGATAATAAACTATAGAACTAATTTATAAAAAGAAATTTTTGATAGGCTATACTTATCTTAAATAGTTTAATAGTTTATACTTTTTCATTTCTAGAATTGATATGTAGTTGTTTATTTCTATTAATGAATGGTGATATTGTTTGAATATGATTTTGATAGATTATACTTGATCTAAATGATGTAATAGTCTATGCTTAGGAAGTTTAAGTAAGTAAGAGGAGAATTAAAAGAGAGTAGTTCTTAAATCCAAATAAGAATTAACTAGTGAATTTAATCCTCGATTCCTAATTTTATCATTTAATTTCCTCCATCTTTTTTACTTGTTTCTTATTTTGGTTTTATTTTCTTTTTGATATTCTTATTTTCTCTCTTCTCCTTTTTTCATTCTCTTTTCTTGTTTTTAGCCCTTTTATTTGTACAAGTCTCACCCAAACCACACTCTACACTTTGTCTTTTCTTCCATATTTCAAGAGCCATTTTAAGGACTTTTCCAAATACACTCCTTCCTCGTGGGTTCTACATCTATCTATACTATAACTTAGTTGTGCACTTGCAATGTTTTTAATTAGAACACATCACTTTCATCTTCAAAAACAATTTGAATACCTCGATTACTAACCCCATCTCACTCTTACAACTATCTTCAGAGTCCGAGCTTACCTCCTTTCTTAACCTTTTCTTCTTTACTTGTAGAACCATTGATTTTTTTGAGCTACCTTCAGAATCTCTCTCCCCCTCCTCCCTCCCTCCCTCCCTCCCCCTCTCTCTTTTTCTCTCTCTTAATCGCACTACATATGTAGGAAGATTTTCTACAAGATTCTCAAGAGTTAGTTAAGAAAAATATTCTTCAAGTTTTCGTACTTACTCACAAGTATATAAGTTTTGTCTCTTTTACCTATGAAGTTTCTTCATGTGATGCCTCTGGTTTCACACAAGGCTGTAATCCAAGGTAAACCTAAGGAGGTGAAACCTGCCATGCACCCACACTGTGCAAAGACACGTTTCACCATCACAGAAATATCTCTCTAGTGGAATCAGCAACAAGTGTAGGTACAAAACAGGTAAATAAATGCAATGAACATGATATAGAAAGAGATAATCAAATAATCATGTTCCAACTAAATAAAATAGAATACCAATGTGATATATCTCAATATATAGAGTTAAATAAAATAGTACTACTGCACTCAACCTTTACAAAATGAAGTACAACTCTAAATGTCTAAAAATAAGCACTAACTACTGTGGAGCATGTAATAAACTACTAATATATAAGATGGAAGCTAATCTACATCTCCATCAACATGAGACTCTCCGTGCGCCTGACTCGTTGCCTAAAAAGAAGGAAAACAACGAGCGTCAAAGCGCTAGCAAGATCATCTCCACCGATCCCATGGGAAGGGGGGTTAGGAGTATATATGAAAATAAGTTAGTACATAAATATATAAGACCGTCTATCCTGAATTAAGAGGAGATTGAAATTTAGAAATCCACAATACGAGAATTAGTGCATCGAGTGAAATAATCCAAATAAGGAAACCCTCATGTATATACCATGTCTAAAGTTTTGAATCGCTAAATACCAACTCCAATTCCTATGAATAAAATAGTAAATAAAAGCAATACAACTCCAAACCTCAACCAATGAAAGTCATGTCGAATCCTCATACTACCCTCGGGTAGTTGGCGTAGTCACGAATATAAACACCCAATAAAATCATCTTGCATAGAATATACCATGTATGCCAATCTCAATATCATACCTTATCCTCAGGTAACTAACATGGGAGCATGAATGCAATGAGTGTAATTCTCTATCTAAATTAACGATACTTTCGTAAGACGCTCACAATATCCTGTGGAAACAACCACCTTACTCAATCATTCCGCGAAGATAGGAATATTACCCTATTCCGAAATGATGCAATGTAGAGTGTCGTCTAGCCACGATCTCATTGCGGGGTATAAACTGACACACTCTGAGTGTAGTCTAGCTGCAGTCTCATTGCGAGAATACCAACTACCCCACTCAGGCATCCACACAATCATGAAATGCACTATATATTACTATCTATTATGACAACTCAAAATATATGTTACATACCTCCGAATGCTCGTACGTGCCCAACGTCCATGTGTGTATGCTTGTAAACAATGCACGTGTATCAACGTACGACTTGTACTTCATGTTCACGATCACAAACATAAGAGAAAGAAACAACATGTGCAAAATAACCCAGATCGGTCGACCGATCCCTTCCATTCGATCGACTGATTAGTGCACATCGGTCGACTGATCCTCTTTGATCGGTCGACCGATCGACACAATTTTTCCAGATTTTGTAATTTTTTTGAATAATCTTACAAATCTATCAAAATTTGAAAATTCACAATAAAACTCATGTATAAAACTTGAATTAACATATTTAGGGTTGTTTCTACTACATGAAAACACGAATATAAATTTGGGGAATTAACGAAAACCCTAACATGTTCATATGTGGCATATGTGTAAGGTTTTTATGGAAGCTCATACTTTAATGAAAACTCATATTAGATCACGTTTAAAACTTTAAATCCACAACTGAGAATCTGTGTTATGTCTTTTTAAATCAAAAAGATCAAATCTTTGTATCATATATCTTAAAAGATCAAACTTTATACTTAAACTAGGTTTTAAGTCTCAATAAAACCAAATACAAATCAATAAAATCAATTAAAAACGGGGATGGGATTGGAGGAGATGAAACTCGCCTCAAAATGCTGCTAGAAAATCCAAGGTGCAAGAAAACAAGTCCTCTATCGCCAAACGCCGACGATCTCGCCCTCTTCTCGGTATTTTCTTCACAAAGCTCTCACCAAAATATGCTCTCAAGTTTTTGAGGTGAGAGGGTGACTGCTAGGGTTCAGAAATATGATGTTAAAGAGAATTTTTCGTGTAATATATCCGTATATACACCAACAAACTCGAACCAATTTAAAAAGAACCAAAATCCAACTCAAACTGGGATTTTGGAATTGGCCCTGTTGGTCGACTGATCACAAATAGTCGGTCGACCGATTGGGCATCATCGGTTGACCGATTATCTTAGGTCAGTCGACCAACCAGAACATAAAACTGTTTATAATTTTGTGCATATGTGTGCATGTTTTCACTCGTTTACTCTTATATACACACTTAATCAATATCAAATTGATTACTAACATGCTCATTCATCAATAAATGATATTTTATCATGATAAAAACTCATTTAATATTATTTTCCATAATATTTCAAAATTTACAAGGTTTTACATTCACACCCCCCTAAAAGAATTTCGTCCTCGAAATTCAGCAATCGTGTCTTAGAGATTAATAATACGAGAATAGCACGCTAAGGGGATAATCCAGACAAGAAAACCCTCACGTACACATCTCGTACCATTAATCCCAAGATATGAAACATAAGCGATATTTACACTTAATAATCTAAAATACGAATACTCCCACTTAACCCTAATTAAAGGGAACTAGTACGTCGGGCGAAAAATCCAAACAAGGAACCCCCCATGTATATACCATATGTTCCTAATGATTAGGAGCTAAGTGTTAATACTCACATTCTAGTTTTAAGTATAAATACGACTATACATATGACATAAACTCAAACAAATCAAAATCAACATTTTACCTACTCAAACAGGTGTGGGTATTCGCGACCTATATCCTCCTCGCACTCCTAAGAAGCCTCCTCAGGTCCTTTCTGGTTCCATTGAACCTTCATTAAAGGAATGACCTTATTTCTAAGTCTCTTATCCTCTCTAGCAAGATTGCAAACTGGAATCTCAATGGTGGTTAAATCAACCTGAATCTCTAACTCTGGTGCATCAATCACCCTCTGATGCTCTTCGTCGTGCAAATGCTTTTTTGACCATCGATATATGAAAGACATCATGTATACCTGACATCGATGCTGGAAGATCTAGTCGATACGAAATGGCTCCAACATGATCAACGATCCTAAACGATCCAATGTATCTCAGGGCAAGCTTCCCCCGTCCACCGAATTGCTGAACACCCTTTATAGGTGACACCTTCAACATAACATAATATCCAACCTGAAACTCCAAAGTTCGTCGTCTCTGATCTGCGTAACTCTTTTGTCAACTTTGGGCGGCAAGAATACACTCCCGAATCAACGCTACCTTCTCCGTAGTCTGCCTCACGAGCTCCGACCCAAGTAGTAAGCTATCCTCCAGCTCTGCCCAACAAATAGGGGATTTACAAGGCCTCCCATACAATGCTTCATAAGGAGCCATGCCTATAGTTGATTGATAACTGTTGTTATAGGTAAATTCAATCAACGGAATATGATCCTCCCAGCTACCCTGGAAATTAATAACACATGCCCGTAACATATCCTCCAAAACTTGGTTGACCCTCTCAGTTTGACCATCTATTTGTGGATGGAAAACACTACTATATAATAGATGGCTGCCAAAAGAATTCTGAAAGCTCTTCTAGAATTGCAAAGTGAAAACTGAGCCTCGATCCGAAACAATCGTCTCCAGAACTCCATGCAATCGAACTATCTCCTGGATAAAAATCCTCGCATATGTCTCCACCGTGTAGGTCATCTTAACTAGCAAGAAGTATACTGACTTCGTCAATCGATTAACTATCACCCAAATAGAATCATTCCCCTTACTGGACCTTGGCAATCCTACAATAAAATCCATCGAAATATCTGCCCACTTCCATTCTAGAATGGGTAAAGGCTGTAGGGTTTCTACGGGTCTCTGATGTTCTGCCTTCACTTGCTGACAAATAAATCACTTAGCTACATACTCTGCGATATCCCTACGCATACCACGACACCAAAAATACCTTTTCAGGACCTTGTACATTTTGGTTGTGCCTAGATGCACTGTGTACCTGGTGCGATGTGCCTCGTCAAATAAATCCTTCTTCAACTATGGATTATCCGGCACCACTAGTCAGCCTTTCATTTGAAGACCTCCATCTGATCCAATGGTCCAATCAGCTTTGGGCTCTTTGGAAATCTCCCCCTTTCAGGTTTGAATTCAAGAGTCTCCTAACTGAGCGCTAACCACCCTATCAGTTCACGATGGCTGCATGGCTAAAGCTCCTAAAAATTTACTTCTCCCACCAATATCTGGCCTAAAATCATACTAGTTGAGGGTGAGAAGATCTCGATATAACGAAAACCTCAAAACTGCAAGCCTGTGATGACGCTTCCTACTCAACACGTCTGCTACAATGTTCGCCTTCCCCAGATGACACTACAGTGTGAACTCGTAATCCTTGATAAACTCGACCCATCGTAGCTGCCTCTGGTTGAGTTCCTTCTGGGAGAAAAGATACTTCAGACTCTGATGATCAGTGAATAACTCGAACTGGACCCTATAAAGATAGTATCTCCATGTATTCAATACGAAGACCACTGCTGCCAACTCTAAGTCATGTGTGGGGGTAATTCTGCTCATGCGTCCTCAACTGTCATGAGATGTGAGCTACTACTCTCTGGGTCTGCAACAAAACACCTCCTAGACCCGATAAAGATGTATCCGTATAAACAACAAAAATCTTATCACTGCTCGGAATAATCAACACCGGCACTATAGTCAACTTGGTCTTCAAAATCTCAAAGGCCTTCTGGCACTCCAGGCCCCAAATGAACTGAACACCCTTCTTCATAAGGCGTGTCAGCGGGGTGAAAATCTTTGAAAAATCTTGGATAAACTTGCTGTAATAGCCGACCAGACCCAAGAAGCTACGAATCTTTGTAATGGTCTTCGACGACTCCCAATCAAGTACTGCCTCCACTTTGGCTGGATCAAACGCAATGCCATCCTTGCTAATGACATGACCTAAAAATGTAACCTTTGATAGCCAAAACTCGTACTTGCTGAACTTAGCATACAACTGGTGCTCCCGAAGAGTCTGCAATGCTAGTCGAAGCTACAGCTCGTGCTCGGCCTCCGATCTTGAATAAATAAGGATGTCGTCGATAAATATGATCACGAACTGGTCCAAATATGGATGAAAAATCTAGTTTATCAAATCTATGAATATTGCGGGTGCATTGGTCAGCCCAAACGACATGACTAGAAACTTAAAAGACCCATATCGAGTCAGAAAGACGGTCTTAGGAATATCCATCTCCCGAACCCGTAACTAATGATAACCAGAATGAAGATCAATCTTTGAGAAACACTATGCTCCTTGTAACTGGTTGAATTAGTCATCAATCCTCGGTAGTGAATACCTATTCCGGATGGCGACCTTATTCAACTCGCGATAATCTATACACAAACGTATACTGTCATTCTTCTTCTTCACGAAGAGGACCGACACTCCCCACAGAGAGTGACTCTAGCGAATAAAACCCTGAGATAAAAGCTCATCTAACTGAATCTGTAGCTCCCTCATCTCAGCAGGTGCCATACGGTAAGGTGCACGGGAGATTGGTGCTATACCCGACTGCAACTCGATGCAAAACTCTGAAAGAACCCTAATTCCACTAGGAAAGAATCGTAGGGGGGCGAATATGGTTTATGCTAATCTAATTTGATTTATACCAATTTAAAACTAATTAACAAGTTATCCTAGTAAATATGATATACTACAAGATATATGCAAGGATAAGAAACTAACACAAGGGTGAAGCAAAATATAAACAAGAAAAACGATATAGTGGGCAATATAAACAAAGAGCAATTGACAATGGTGATATAAACAATAAGAACGAATATAAATGAACGCTAATGACAAACGCAAACAAACGATATGATCACGGAGTTCAGTCCTCATGACCTACATCTCCGCTCCTCACCTCGAGGAGATCTCTACTATCACAACCGGGTTTTCTATGCTCACCCGAATAATGTTTATACCTCACACTCGGATTTCTAGTTCACCAAAAACTTCATAATTCACACTCTTGCAATCACACTCACTATCACCTCAAGTGTTGGTCTCTGGCCCGTGTCTCCCTCAAGTATTAGGAATTACAACCTACCTCTAGGCATTACTACCTACCCTACTCATCTTGGGATGACCCCGTCTCTCACTACACACTTCTCTCGGTGTACAAGTGTATTACAAAGTGCAACTCATAATGAAGCTCGATACAACAAAATTGTTCTGTACAATGGATGAGAACACAACGTAAGCTCACTCTCAATGTCACAAATCCCACAACCCAAATTATACTATGAATGTAAATACAATAAGCTCAATAGGTTGTGTGTGAACAAAGAGATAAATCAAAACAAACTAAACTCAAATAAATCTAGCTTATGGAAATTATAATCAAAACAATAAATAGCTAGAAAAAAAGTTTAGGGAAACTTCTCTATAGATCAAGAGAGAAAGGGAGAAGAGTTGGATGCTCAAACACAATTGATGATCTTCCTCAAGCTCTTGTGAAATTCTCTTCATAAACAAAACTCTTAAACAAGACTTAAACACATTTAAACAAACTAAAACCAAACTTTAAACCATTGTTAAACTTTCTTAAAACATTCTCTTGATATTTTAGAAGTTAGGATATGTGGGGGGTATTTATAGGAACCCCAAAGCCAAGAGAAAAAAAGGCAAAGAGATTAAAAATCCAAAACAGGACAAAGGCTAAAAAAACTAGCTGTTACAACATCAGTCGACTGACGACTTTCATCATTCGACTGATGAGCTGATCGTTAGAGAAATTTTCCAGCTCATCAGTCGACTGACGATATTTATCAGTCGACTGATAGATCATCAGTCGACTGGTCAGTCGACCAAAATGAAACAAAAACTTTTTAATATTTCAGGTGATTTCTTCAGTCGACTAAACACATTCATCAGTCGACTGATAACACTGTATCAGTCTGATTAAAATAAAAAATCTGATTTTCAAACCTCTTTTAAAAATAGCAAATAAAATAAAAAATATAAAACTTTAGGAAATGATTGTAGACATAATAATATACATGTTACAAAAACTGGTTTTTAAAAATCACCTCCCATTTGTAAAATATCATCATTTTGCAAATATGTCCAAAACATTAAAACATGAGATACTTGAATTTTGATGTTTTAAACCATGTTTTGAAACTTTATAAAATGATTATATAGACTTGATAAAAGATATAAACTATTATTGTTAAGTCTATAAACCAAAAGCACAATGTTTTCTCAAAAATACATATACTATGCAATAAAACATGATTTCATTGAACTAAATAAACTTGATATTGATGAAATCATATATAAGCATATAAACATGAAACAAGAATGTATTTTCCAATTTTATTCATTTGTTTCATATTTAAACTGAAAACTATAAAACCAAAACATATATATATATATATATATATATATATATGTATATATATATATTTAATATATATATATATATATATATATATATTATATATATATTATATATATAATATATATATATATATATAATATTATTATATATATATATATATATATATATTATAGGGAAAAAGTGAATCTAAGGTGACACCCTACGCTCCCACCTAGAACGCGCGCCTAAAAGCACATCATTCCCTAATATTTTTTTACGATCCGCTCCGTTGAACTCTGATCTACTGTTCTTAACTCACAAACACCCCCCTCCCCCCCCATAATTTTTTGGCGGTGAACCCGTCATGTTTTTGATCCCTTCATCCACTCGCCGCATTTAAACGGTTTCGAATGAATAGAAACTTTTTGAGACGATCTCACGAATTGGTCAAAACACGGCGGGTCACCCAAATTAGTGTTGTTTGAGTTTTAAGAAGTAAGATCAGTTCAACCGGCGGATCGCTAGAAACATATTTAGGAATGATATGTTTTTTAGGCCCCGGGGGCGCGCGGCGGGGCCGCCGCGGTCCATGGTGGGAGCCTAGGGTGTCACCTTAGAGTTCATATTATTATATATATATATAATATATAATTATATGATATATATATATATATATAACTAAAAACGTGTATGTGTGTATATGATTGATCTTAAAGTACTATAACACATAATATAAAAACCTAAACTAAATATACCCAAGCTTGTGGTCTTCAATGAAGCTCTATCTTGGTATACTTGCGGATGAAGCTTGAACTTGGATCTTGACTTGAATTACAAGGCTTCATTCCGATATTCCGCAAACCTCCATTGGATATGATCGTGAAAGCTCGATTCCATCCATCCTCCGGTATATTGTTTGCCTAGAATAGATACAAAACACAAACACTAGACAAACAATATTAGATGTAAATTGTTTGTAAATCATCATCAAAACAAAAGGATCCAACAAACTCAACCTCTCTCACTGGAGGTAATCCAGGTATGTTTGGAAAAACATCCTGTTACTCTAAGACGACTCTGGTCTCGCTCAAATCTACACCCTGATCTTGAAACAACACCTCCTTGACGTATGCCAGAAATGACTCCACAAATTGGTTACCCTGTAATTTCTCTACAACTAATTTGGTCTCATCAGATGCTCACAAGCTGACTGTTTCCGTAAAATAGTCGATACTGACGTGGTAGGACGATAACCAATCCATACCAAGAATAACATCGAACTTGGACATATGCAGGATGATCAAATCGACCATGAACTCAGACTCATATAGACTGATAATGCATCCCCTACAGATACTTTCTAAGAGGGACACCTCTCCAAAAGGCGTAGAAACTGATAGAGGAATATCTAAAGGCTGTGCTACAAGCTGAAGTCTAATCATAAAAGCATAGGAAATGAAGGAGTGCTAAGCACCATAATCAAATAAGATAGGGCTAGAAAGGAGTTCACAAGGAACATACCTTCCATGACTGTCCCCCTCGCACCATGATCGGGTGATACGACTGCATACACTCTGCCCGAAGCTGCGGACTACTGCACTAAAGGTTTTGCGCTATACAAGACAACCTGTCCCTGAGGAATCTCCTGAATGACTCTGACCTGCCTTTCTGGCCCCTCAATCCTTAGAACTATTAGCGATGCCTCAAGTCTCAATTGCTGGCCCTGTCCTTGGGCATGTCCATGGTTCTGTTGTTGTTAACACTGATTCTTGCTCTGCTGGCCTCCTACTAGCGCACTGCGGCACTCTGTGGCTTTGTGCCCAAACTTGTGGCAGTGAAAAAAAGTGCCCTAAAATCTGCACTGCTGTGGCGCCCTCTGATCCTGCTGAGGTCCCTTCTTATGAGGACCTTGCTACTGCGAACCCTTGCCCTATTGTTGGGGCCCTCCGAGTCCTGAATATGGCTTCTTCCCCTTGCCTTTATCTTCGGCTTGTCCTTCTCTCGCATTCCCTTTCTTGCCCTTCTAGAACATGGCAGTTTCCATCTCCTATGCTATAGCGGCATCGGCAACCTCCCGCACTGAGTGAAAACTCCGAGACACTAAATAGCGGTGTAAGCTCAGGCGAAGTCCCATTAGAAACATTTGTGCCTGACGCTCTCCAGTCTTCCACATGCCCGTAAACATGAGCAATCCTATAAACTTACTCTCATAATCTGGTACATATATATCTCCCTGCTCCAACTAGGCTAGCTCTAACTCCTTCTCGGCTTTCGCTGCTGCCGACACATACTTCTCATCAAAGAAATAAATGAAGTTTTCCCAGCTAAGCATCATCATCTGCTTCGGAGTGAATTGAAGTCAGTACCACCCTCCGGTGTCGCCCTTGAGGTTGAAAGCTGCTAGCCTTTGCTTCTGTACGGTGTTCACATTAAGCATATCCAAAATGTTCCCCACATCTTCTTTCCACTTGTGCGCCGCAAGTGAATCTGAGGTTCCATGAAACTCCGGTGCCTTCATCTTATGGTATCTCTCCACTAAACGGAGCCAAGCTTCTTGCTCTGCGGCCCTATCAACAGCTAGTGGTGGTGGTGTAGCGATTAATGTATATGTTGGTAGCGACACTACTAGAGGTGGTATCACTGGCGGGACCTGGTTCGCATCTGTTCCTCAGTCGCCGCTAACCGAGATGCAAGTGGTACTATAAGATCAATCAAGTAGTGCGGAGCCTGCTGCGGCTCAGGCTCTGGATCAGCTCCCTGAGCATGGGTTCCTCTACACCATGTCCTCTTCTAGACATCTATAAGTTCAGGAGTAGAGCTTATAAACACAATAAATAAGATCTCAAGCATATAGCATAACATATAACAATAGGAAAACCGTATCGCATATCATTCATGCAAATACTTTTCAATCAAGGTAAGATAGTCATCATAAAAAAATTTGTAATTTTCACGTTATATAACGTCCTCACTAAATCTAGAAATTCCTAGTAGACTCTACACATGATTCTTAGAAAACTCTATCTTAGCTCCACGACTTAACACATGATGATTCTAAGGATGTCAGAATTAGAGTTCTGATACCAACTGTGACGCCCCTGGTTTCGCACAAGGCTGTAGTCCAATGTGAACCCAAGGAGGTCAAACCTATCATGCACCCACACTGTGCAAAGACACGTTTTACCATCACAGAAATATCTCTCTAGTGGAATCAACAACAAGTGTAGGTACAAAACAGGTAAATAAATGCAATGAACATGATATAGAAAGAGATAATAAAACAATCATGTTCTAACGAAATAAAAAGGAATACCAATATGATATATCTCAATACATAGAGTCAAATGAAATAGTACTAAGGCACTTAGCCTTTACAAAATAAAGTATAACTATAAATGTCTGAAAATAAGTGTTGGACCCTAGAGGGGGGTGATTAGGGTCAAGAGGCTCTAATATGCAATAAAAAACAAATACAAGCAAACCACAAAACAGTAAAGCAAATTGAAATAAGAGAGATATGGTTAGGAGTTCGTTATCCTTGACGCGCGATGTGTTAACGAGGTTCGGCCCTCTGGCCTACGTCCCTGCTCCCCACTCTCGAGGAGAAATCCACTACACACCCGGTTTGGAAGCCGGAACTTCGTCTACACAGCGATCCCACACGATCTCTCTCACTACACAGTTTGATCTCAACAGATCACACTTCCTCACAGTTGATCTACACAAGATCTCACTCACACAGCAGAAGAAAAGATGCAAGAACCTCTCTTTACACAGCCCCTATAGCAAAGAGAAGGTTTACTGAAGCTGGGAAGTGAATCACACTTAAAACAGAGAGAAAACAGGCTTTGAAAATTTTTCACAGGAAGCAGAAAGCTCTCTCTAGTTTTTGCAAAACGTTAGGGCTACTAAACAAGAAGAAGACTGGGGGTTTTTATAGAAGAGTTTAAATCATTTTAAAACAAAACCCTATCTTCCCAAATGAGCAAGTAATCTCCTTTTCTGACTCCCAGCCCAGACTGTGCCAAACACCATTAAGTGAAAGCACAGTAATCAAGGCAGAAGACCGTTTTAAAAAAGTCGCGGTTGACTGAAGGAAATTTCGGTCGTCCGAAATAAACCTTCGGTCGACCGACCGAAAAAATATTTTCTTGAAAAAGGATTTTTGACCAACTTGAAATATTTGCAAAATATTTATTTGACCTCTGAAAATTCTGAAACTTTGTAAAATGTTTTTAATACTAAAAACAAACTGTTTGGAAAAAGAATTTTGCAGATAGGTACTCATACTTGTGAAAAATAGTATTTTGTGAAAAACGCTTAAAAGCACAAGTCTAAAAACGTGTGTGTGATTCCCAATAGCTTCAAGTAAACTCAGTAACTCTTTGCCTACATTCTAGCACTAGAGAGAAAAATAAAAGAAAGCTAATATCCTCATATAAAGAGCAATATACTTGAGCTTTGATATAGCTTGAATCGGATGAAGCTTTTGATCGAATTTGTCGTTCTTGAAATAACGTTGCTTCATCTCTTGGCCTCCTCCTCCTTTGGATATCTTCGTTGTAGCGTATATTCCATCCATCCTCCGTTGATGGCACTAACGAGCTTGACAAATGAATTTACTACATTTATACTCAATAAGCCATTAGTACCGATAATGGTGGTTGTAAGAACATCATCAAAACATAAGGGCTAACAATCTCCCCCTTTTTGATGATGACAACCAACCATTATATAAGAGCAAAAATAAAATAGCTTATAGATAGGTGCTCCCCCTATCTATGAGCTCCCCCTAAATATATGCAACAAATGAGGAGATTTCTTTCCCCCTTTGTCACCATCAAAAAAATGGGGAAAGAAATGCAAAATGCAAGTTGCAACTAAACAAGCAAGCAATGTAGAACGTTCACATAGTGCATAAGCCCAAACCATTTCTTATGCGACAAAAATCATCCTCTCCAAGAGGCTTAGTAAATATATCCGCTAGTTAAGATTTTGTGTCAACAAATATTAGGGATACATCTTGTCGCTCTACATGATCGCGTAAGAAATGATGGCGTACGTCAATATGTTTAGTTCTAGAATGCAAAACCGAATTTTTGGAAATATTTATAGCACTTGTGTTATCACAAAAGATTTTAATATTTTGAAAATTCAAATCATAGTCAACTAAACTTTGTTTCATCCATAAAACTTGAGCACAACATAAGCCGGCGGCAATATATTCCGCTTCCGTAGTGGACAATGCAACACAATTTTGTTTCTTGGAAGCCCAAGAAACAAGGGAATTTCCTAAGAATTGGCATGTTCCACTAGTACTCTTGCGATCTACCTTACATCCGGCAAAGTCGGCATCACAAAAACCATATAAATCAAAAGTGGTGCTTTTTGGATAAAACAAACCAAGGTTAAAAGTTCCATTAACATACTTAATGATCCTTTTAACCGCAATTAAGTGAGATGCTTTTGGAGATGCTTGAAAACGTGCACATGCACACACACTAAACATGATGTCGGGTCTACTAGCGGTGAGATAAAGAAGACTACCTATCATACCTCGGTATAGTTTTTGGTCTACATCTTTACCAATACTTAATGATTCTTTTAACCGCAATTAAATGAGACGCTTTGGGAGAGGCTTGAAAACGTGCACATGCACATACACTAAACATGATGTCGGGTCTACTAGCGGTGAGATAAAGAAGACTACCTATCATACCTCGGTATAGTTTTTGGTCCACATCTTCACCACTCTCATCCGCATCAAGCTTAACACTAGTACTCATGGGAGTAGGCGCATGCTTAGAATTCTCCAACTTGAATTTCTTCACCAATTCCTTCGCATACTTGCTTTGTGAAATGAAGATCCCATCCTTAGTTTGCTTGACTTGGAGCCCGAGAAAGAATGTAAGCTCTCCCATCATACTCATCTCAAAGTGATCCTGCATTACTTTAGAAAATTCCTTGCACAAGGATTCATTAGTAGCACCGAAAATGATGTCATCCACATATATTTGAACTAAAATGAAATCATTTTTCCTTTTTCTCACAAAAAGTGTGTTATCAATTGTTCCTTTTGAAAAACCATTTTCAATAAGAAAACTAGAGAGGCGAGCATACCAAGCCCTAGGAGCTTGTTTCAACCCATATAAAGCTTTTTGTACCCGGTAAACATGATTAGGAAAAGCATGATCTATAAAACCGGGGGGTTGCTCAACATACACTTCCTCTTCTATAAAGCCATTTAAGAAGGCACTTTTAACATCCATTTGAAAAAGTTTGAAATTTTTAAAGCTAGCAAATGCCAAAAACATCCTAATAGATTCCAACCTTGCAACCGGTGCAAAGGTTTCATCATAGTCTATGCCCTCCTCTTGATTGTATCCTTGGGCAACCAAACGAGCTTTATTTCTAGTTACAATGCCATGTTCATCAAGTTTGTTTCTAAAAACCCATTTTGTACCAATAACACTAGCATTGTTAGGTCTAGGAACTAACTTCCAAACTTCATTTCTTTGAAAATTGTTT